GAGTAACAATGAACACTTCAAAGAACATGCCCACCGGCGTAGCTTAGTCGGCAGATCAGCATCGATCCCAGGGCAGTTTTCAGAAAAGAACAAAATCTACAGCAAAGATGAATAGGAAAAGTAAACAGAAGAAGGAAAAAAAAAGAAATGGAAAAAGATTAGAGAAAGTAAAAGGAAGGATAAAGGACACAAGATGAAGAGAAAGAGACGGCCGAAATGGTAAGCAAGAGAGGGTAGAAGCGATGCAGAGGGAGAAAGCGAGAACTGCGAATGGGGATAAAAAGAAAATGAGGACAAGAAAGAAAAAAAGACGGTGTACAAATAAAAAAAATAAGACAAGAGAGAAGGAATATGGTGGATCTCTCTCTCTTTCTTTCTTTCTCTCTCTCTCTCTCTCTCTCTCTCTCTCTCTCTCATATATATATATGTCTATTTCTATCTCTCTATCTATGTCTGTCTTTCTCCTCTTTCTCTCTGTCTCGGTCTCCTATCTCCATCTTTTCTATCTGTCTGTCTATCCATCTGCTCTCTCTATCTATCAGTCTTCCCCCTCTCTCTCTCCCCCTCTCCTTCTTTATCTCTATCTGTTTGCCTGTATCGATCCTTCTGCCTCTCGCTCTCTCTCTCGATCTATGTGTCTGTCTCTCTCCTTCTCTCTCCCTCGAAAATTAAGTACGTGAAGGAGAAAAGGAGAAAATAAAAGAAAGTATGAATCAGAAAGAATGCGAAGAAAATGCAAAAGGAGAGATTTCTCGAGATTGCTGGATTGCCTTTTTTGTGGTTTATCAACCCTTTATGGCTTATTTAAGACCAAAACATATTTTAGGTTGTAAGAATAATTCTTGATGCTTTTTTTTTCGATTGAATTTTGCATTATGAAACTTTTGACAGAATTACAATGAGTTTTTCAGCTACAAGTCTTACTTAGCTGAGTTACATAATAATATTTGTAGTAGCAGATAGAGTGAGAGTAATGCGACATATGGGTAAGTGTATAAAGGGTTATAGTAAATATGGTGTGGAGATGACGAAAAAATTTGAGAAAAATATAAATGGAAGATTAACTGAAACGGACAACGTCTTGTGTTTGACGATAAACTATATCCGCGTCCTGGGTAAGACGATAAACTATATCCGCGTCCTGGGTACGACGATAAACTATATCCGCGTCCTGGGCATAACGATGAACTATATCCGCGTCCTGGGTATGAAGATAAATTATATCCGCGTCCTGGGTAAGACGGTAAACTATATCCGCGTCCTGGGTATGAAGATAAACTATATCCGCGTCCTGGGTACGACGATAAACTATATCCGCGTCCTGGGTACGAAGATAAACTATATCCGCGTCCTGGGTACGACGATAAACTATATCCACGTCCTGGGTATGACGATAAACTATATCCACGTCCTGGGTATGACGATAAACTATATCCACGTCCTGGGTACGACGATAAACTATATCCACGTCCTGAGTATCACGATAAACTATATCCGCGTCCTGGGTACGACGATAAACTATATCCACGTCCTGGGTATGAAGATAAACTATATCCGCGTCCTGGGTACGACGATAAACTATACCGCGTCCTGGGTATTACGATAAACTATATCCTCGTCCTGGGTATGACGATACACTATATCTGCGTCCTGGGTATGAAGATAAACTATATCCGCGTCCTGGTTACGATGATAAACTATATCCGCGTCCTGGGTATGACGATAAACTATGTCCAACGGCAAGGCCTCTGATCAGGAGGTTTTGATGAGCGTGGAACCGCCTCTTAATTGCTGGTGTTCCTAGGTCCACCCTGACCACGGGTGATAGCACCTGTTAGGGTCCCAACTATGGGAAAATAGTTAACCCCCAAACTGGAGTCAAAGCACTATAAAAATGTAAAAATAGGTTTAATACCAGAAATACTTTGTCCTAAAAAGTAGAAATTACGAGAAAGATGGGATAAGAACGTAGTTAAACGATTAGATAAAAGACAGAAAGAAAGTGTTAAAAAAAAGGGGGTATAGGTTTGGTCAGTAAATTTAGAGGTAATAACAAAAAAATTTAAAGTGAGAAAGAAATGCTAAAAACAAAGTATTATAAACGAGAGAAAGAAAAAGTGACTACAAAATAAATGCGATAAAAGTCGAGAAGAACATAAAATTGTTCGAGTTTCGAATAGAGATTGATTATTCCTAATAACTCCATTTTACACTTGCACATCCTTCCTCCCTATTTTATCTTCTCTAAATTATTGGGTTGGTGCATAATTATCCGACGTTTTTAAACAATATTTATTATGAAAATGAAATATAACAATTCAACAATAGCATTTTATTATGTGTGAATATCGACACGCATTTTTTCAACCTGAAAATAAAATAATATTTTTATTAAAAAAAAAAACGCAAACAAAACAGCAAATTTCATTAATAACTCGCCTAGAAAAATGCCTGATAATTATGCACCAACCCAATACTTGCACTCGATTGTTCAAAATTTTCATTTTTACTTTCTTTTAATGTTATCTATCTATCTATCTATCTATCTATCTATCTATCTATCTGGATTACGGTCGCATCAAGCTGAAACACCGGTTTCTGTAGGATCACCGAAGTTAAGCAACGTCGAGTCTGGTCAGTGCCTAGATGGATGACTGCTTAGGAATAGCAGGTGCTATGAGCATGGATGTGGCTAGTGTAATGAATATGGATAATGGCTCGGAATTGTTCATCGGTGAGCCGTGTTTCAATTCCAGTCGTGTTCGTTATATTCACATACGCGCAAATACCCTTGGGAAAGGTAATGAATCCACCTCTTCTCCCCTCAGCTATGTAGTAATTACTAAGACTTGTGTCACTGAGTCAATGTTATCTCCGAAAAAATATTTTCTGGCTTTAATTAAACTGCAGTGGATTGATAAGCTGTAGAAAACGAATATATCTGTCTATCTATCAATATCTCTCTCTCTCTCTCTCTCTCTCTCTCTCTCTCTCCTCTGTGTGTGTGTGTCTGTTCATAATTATCTACCTATCTATCAAATTAAATGTATGTCTGTCGCTCTTTGTTCATATCTATCTGCCTCAGTTTCTCATTCTCTTCTTCTCTCTGGATATTTTTCCCATTTACCTCAGTCCTTTCATGATAGTCATATCTATCTATCTATCTATCTATCTATCTATCTATCTCTTTCTCTCTCTCTCTCTCTCTCTCTCTGTCTATAAATATATATATATATATATATATATATATATATATATATATATATATACTATCACTTTATTTTAGTGGATACTCATTTATTTATTAATCAGTGTTTAAAAGTATATATATATATATATATATATATATATATATATATATATATATAGTTGGATTGATGTGAGTTTGTGAGCCTGGGTTTCACGCTCTTTGCAGTAGTCAGACAAACTCGCATCAATCCAACTAAATATGTTACGTCTATCACTGATATCGAGGGCTTTCCAAGAATTACCGCGCATATATAATATATAAATAATATATATAAAAATGTATATATATTTATATTTATATATATATATATATATATATATATATATATATATATATATATATATATATATATATATATATATATATATATATATATATATATATATATATATATATATATATATATATATATATATATATATATATATATATATATATATATATATATATATATATAATATATGGTATAAAACTGTCCAATCGTCAAATTAAGATTTGAACCAGTGTATCTTAGAAATGATTAAATATATCCTACTTGAATTGTCGAAGTTTTTTATAACATTATTGGTCTCTACTTTGAACAATAAGAATGCATTTAGTTCTAAATTTATATGATAATCATCTTGATGTTGTTACCTGCTGATCCAGTTTTTTTCTTCTAATGTTTCCTCTTTTTTAAACTTATTCACCGTTCTCTTGATGGTTCTTGAATGATCTTTGAAGATAGAAAACAGAGTACATATGTTGGTACCATTACTGAAAGCCTGAATGATCTTTATCCTCTCACTATTGCTCAGTCGGGAAGACATAGTGGGGCTAATACAAAACGATTTTAACCTGTTCTCTTTCTTTTTATTCAAACTCAAAGATTGTTTCAGTGATTCTTTCGACAAATGATGCCAAGATGGCTAAACGTCTTATCTGAAAACCTGAAAAAACGAAACTCAGTTGGTTTAGTTGTTTTTTTGTTTTTGTTGTTTTTGTTTTTTTTTTGTTTTTTTTAGATATTAAACATTTTGTGGTATTGACTATTATCCCATGTTGTTACAAGATTTGGACAATATTCCTGTTACACCCATGGCATGCATATATATATATATATATATATATATATATATATATATATATATATATATAGTTTATGCAAATCTAGGTAATCCATATGGGTAGACCCAAGGAGGATGATATCCAGAGAGCTCAATGTAAATTCAGAGCAAATAAATTTGAATAAAAACAGACCATTTTATGGTACCATGTAATAAATTATTTCACCACAGGGCTCTGGATCATCAGACTTTTACTTCCAAAGGTTGAAATGAATATATATATATATATATATATATATATATATATATATATATATATATGTATGCATATATATATACATATATATAAACACACACACACACAGATAGATAGATAGATAGATAGATAGATAGATAGATAGATAGATAGATAGATATCACCGTAAACAGACTGAGAAAGATAAATATATAGATAAACATCGTATAGACTGAGATAGATATAACACTGAATAGATAGATAGATAGATAGATAGATAGATAGATAGATAGATAGATAGATAGAGAGATAGATAGATAGATAGATAGATAGATTAAGCAAATCAGGAACTCATAGAACTATTCCATAGTTTCCTGTGGAATCCACTCGTCAGGATTAGATGATCTGCTATGGACTTTTAATTTCGAATTTTCCTGATTATCTCTTCCTCTCCCCCCTTTTCTTTCCTCTCTTTTTCTTCTACCATTTGCTTTCACGCTTTCGTCTTTACTTATTTTCTCTTTTTACCTTACTTTTCTCTTCCTATGTTTTCTCTTTTTCCATTGATTCACTTCAACTCCTCCACCCTTTATCTTTCTCTTTCTCAGTTAAATTTTACTCTAGATTCTCCCCTTAGTTCACTTTTTATGCAACACAGACATCTTTTGACAGTTTGCGTGCCTGTTTCTCTCTTTCTATCTTTCCTTATATATTCCAGCCTTAATTTATATCTAATATAATGAAACTATTTAAAGATGGATACCGTACTATTGTAGTTTTTTTTTTTTTAAATATACTAAAATTAATACCTATGATGGCCTTGTGTCATTCTTAATTAAGCTTAGTAAATAGAGAGAATAATTGTGAATTAAAAATTAGGGAGAAATAAAGAGAGAGAGAAAAAAAGGTGAAAAAGAAAAAGACATGAAGAACAGGTAAATAAGAGGGAAAGACAGAATATTCTATATTATTGCAGAATTTTGACAGACGAACCAAAATCAATTTTAACAGTCACACCAACACCAAGATACAATAAATAAAAGAGAGTAAGACAACAAGAAAAAAGAAAGATAAACTAATCGAAAATAATAAGAGAAAAATGAAAGTGAGACAACGAGAAAAAAAAAGGGTAAACTAATCGAAAATAATAAGAGCAAAATGAAAGTGAGACAACGAGAAAAGAAAACTAATCGAAAAATAATAAGAGAAAATGAAAGTGAGACAACGAGAAAAAAGAAGGGTAAACTAATCGAAAATAATAAGAGCAAAATGAAACGGTGGGACAACGAGAAAAAAAAGAAGGGTAAACTAATCGAAAATAATAAGAGCAAAATGAAAGTGAGACAACGAGAAAAAAGAAGGGTAAACTAATCGAAAATAATAAGAGAAAATGAAAGGGACAACGAGAAAAAAAGAAGGGTAAACTAATCGAAAATAATAAGAGCAAAATGAAAGTCAACGAGAAAAAAGAAGGGTAAACTAATCGAAAATAATAAGAGCAAAATGAAAGTGGGACAACGAGAAAAAAAGAAGGGTAAACTAATCGAAAGTAATAAAGCAAAATGAAAGTGAGACAACGAGAAAAAAGAAGGGTAAACTAATCGAAAATAATAAGAGCAAAATGAAAGTGGGACAACGAGAAAAAAAGAAGGGTAAACTAATCGAAAGTAATAAGAGCAAAATGAAAGTGGGACAACGAGAAAAAAAGAAGGTAAAACAAAAATAATAAGAGAAAATGAAAGTGAGACAACGAGAAAAAAGAAGGGTAAACTAATCGAAAATAATAAGAGAAAAATGAAAGTGGGACAACGAGAAAAAAAGAAGGGTAAACTAATCGAAAATAATAAGAGCAAAATGAAAGTGAGACAACGAGAAAAAAGAAGGGTAAACTAATCGAAAATAATAAGAGCAAAATGAAAGTGGGACAACGAGAAAAAAAGAAGGGTAAACTAATCGAAAATAATAAGAGCAAAATGAAAGTGAGACAACGAGAAAAAAGAAGGGTAAACTAATCGAAAATAATAAGAGCAAAATGAAAGTGAGACAACGAGAAAAAAAAGAAGTAAACTAATCGAAAATAATAAGAGCAAAATGAAAAACGAGAAAAAAGAAGGGTAAACTAATCGAAACGGAGCAAAATGAAACGGTGGGACAACGAGAAAAATAGTAAACTAATCGAAAATAATAAAAGCAAAAGATAATAATAATGAAGAATCGCACTTAGATTAAATGATTAAAATGGAATTTCTTTTTTAAATAACCTTTACATGTAATTTGCAGCCAGAAAATATATTTTAGATTGTAAGACTGTTTTGTAGATAATAATGACATGCTGATACAAGTTCTACTTATTAACCCATAACTTGGGGGAGAACTTTTCCGAATGGTATTTGCGAGTGAGTAAATATAAGGAGTCCATCTGGAATTGGAACTCGGAGAGCAGAGTCCCAATTCCGAGCCGTTAGCCATTACGCCAACTGCGCGTGCAACATTACAGCACATGATATTCCCAAGCAGTCACTGATCTAGGTACTGGGTAGGCTCGACATTGCTTAACTTCGGTGATCGTACAAGTACCGGTGTTTCAACGTGATATTGTCGTAAGCCTTAAGAGAATTAGAAAATCAAGGAGCAGTTGAATCTATAAAGAAACCAGCTGAAGAGAAATTCAACAATCATGATGAAACATCAAGAGATACAATTGAAGTTTCAAAGAGAAAAGAGAATAACAGTTATGGCGATAATGAAGGCAAAATAGATAGAAACAGAAAACAGATAAAAGAAGAATAAAAAAAAGAAAAGAAAGGCAACAGAAATGATAAGAGTCTAAGCCCGGGTATACATGAGCGATGGAGAGCAAGGGTGAAACACCGTGTCAGTGATTGGGGGTAGAGACGCTTCCAATAAGAGATGTAATGGCTGTAATGGCCAGAGGTGATCACAAATTAATAAGCAGAGCAATTAATAAAGACTCCGAGAACAAGCTAGAAGCACCGGGCTGTAATTAAGATGAAAAGAAATACAAACAGTTGAAAGTATTTCTGACCGTTGGCCATTGGACATCTTGGCCTAGGGCCGTGGACAAAGGGTGTACGGGTTGGGTGGCCTGGCGTTGAGACAGTTACGCCAGGGAGACATTTGATTCATCGAAATCCTTGCAGTCTCATTCTACTTTTGACAGCTTGTCACTCTTGTTCGCTTAATCAGTCTTTTTCTCCCTTTGATAATAATGTACCCTTTGTATTGGTGCCATTAGATTGTATTACTGTCATAATGTCTGTGCGCTTCTTGATCTCCTTCCGTCTCTCCTTCCCCTTGTACAAACGCACGCTCACACACACATACACACACACATATGTATACTTGAGTGTGCAACTTGTCAAGGTTATCTGCTGTTGCCGGGTTAAAGTTGCATTCAGTCTTATTAAATGATGTAAGGATTTTCTTTATTCTTCTCATTATTTATTTCGCTTTACAATTACTGACACAAATATGCTTTCATTTTACTCTACACACGCATACACTGAAAACACACACACACACACATATATATATATATATATATATATATATATATATATATATATATATATATATATATATATGGAGAGAGAGTACCTCAAGCGATACGCCAAAAAATTGAGTATACATGATATGATGAAACAATGCCTTAAACTTAATAAAACAAGGTTTATCGTCAAAATCGTTATGCTATTATTAAGAGGAAAGACCAAATATTTTGTTTTTTTTATTTTATTATTAAATTATATCTTTTAATCCGTATTATTACTTTGAAAATTTTGGATACAAATTTTTGTTTTTCTTGGGTCAACTGGTGACCATCAATTAGGATGGGAAATTTTAACGTCTTTTTTCGTGAATTGACTGGAAACATTGATTTGGAAATTCTTGCAAAAAATCAGATAATTTTTGGATGTTAATGAAACTTTCAGGAATAATTCACAAATCCATTAAATTATTTTAGAAATTTTTACATTTTCGAAAATCTTGGTAATTGTCAGACATAAGACTATCGACTGAGTTGTCAGAACCTCGTAAAGCACCCACCACCATTTAAAAATCACGAGCTAACGCGACAATTCTCCTTGCTATCGCATATCTGCGATATTTTAAGTAGGTAATATTTCTTTCAAATCATATTAATCATTCTTTAAATGAGCACCTTATACTTTAAATGAGATAATTCTACTTTAAATAAGCTTTAAATCAGCTCAAATAAAGTTTCAGAGGAGTATATTTGATATTAGAATGATTTTATTTAATAAATAGAACTACGTTGTGTTTCCAGAGTTGTCTATCTGGCCGGTTTCAGCAATTTTAGTCATTTAAAATATCATTTGAATTGAATTTAAATTTGGTTTGAAATAAGTATTTTGCTTATTTTGCTGATTGTAAATATTAAATTTAATCTATGAGGTAGAAATTAAAGCTAAAACAAAAGATTCCTGAAATATTTTTTAATTTTTAAAAATGTATTTTAAACTTTAGATATCGCCTTTCTTTGGAGGTACCTATATATATATATATATATATATATATATATATATATATATATATATATATATATATAAAAAAAATGGATGTGTGTGTGTGTAACGAATGCACGGCCGCAATTTTCGACGGATTTGCACCAAAATTTATATGAACTTGCTCCAAATGAGCGGGAAGGCCAAGACCGACTTTGCATTTCCCAACTCCCATCGATTGTGGAAATAATCGATGTTTTCATGCTTCTACGGCAGTTTTCATGTAGTTTGCGGCCATTTTCTACTGGCCAGATTGAGAGCCTATAGCTGGCTGCTACCAATAGGCAGGAAGATTCTACTGGCCAGCGTGAGAGCCAACAGCTGACTCACACGAATGTTAACTAGCATGCAAGCATGAAAAAAAAATGATAGCTGTATTCGTCACAAGTGGGAAAAATTTAAATCTGCATGGCACTTTCCTCCAATTGGCTCATTCGCTTGCTTAAACTCAACGTTGATTCTGATTCCGCAGAACTGGGTTGTGAAAAAGTATTTGTTGTTAACATTCTTTTTTTCATTCGGTTTTTCAGTTACGAGTCCTTTTTTTAAAGCTGATCGTTTTGTGTTCATTTTGTTTAGTTCTTTTTTCGTAACAGATTTAATGTTTAGTATAGAGCTTCGAAAAAAATTCGCAGTGTGAGATAGGCAAGAAGTAAGGCATGTAGCAACATCAGCACGACAAAGGGCACTCCTTTAATGGCAAGGAAGGGCAAAAATATTTTAAGTCAAGTGATAGCGATTGCTGTATGAGACGGACGATTTTTTAATTAAGCACGGGCAACGCCGGGCCATGCTGTATATATATATATATATATATATATATATATAACAAACTACAGACTACTGCGTCGTTTATAGAGTTTTATCCTCACGTGACCTCCAGACGAATAGAACGCAAATGAAAGAAAGTGTAGTCTGGCATTACTTACCCATGTGCGTAGTACATCCAATCTAATGCACAAAGGGAAAACATTAAGTAGTTAAGTCCACAAAAATTATTTGGTGAGTACTTAAAAAAAAATTATATACAAAAAAATACTCGGGATAGGTGTAGGCTTTGCCCTGAATATATATACAACGCACATACCCAAATAAAAAGCAAAAATAAAATCATCCTTGATAATGGCTGAATGTATAGCCGAAAGCGCTCGCAATTATAGAACATTTGGACAGTGTCTACACACTCTTTGTTCAAAAAAGAAAAAAAAACTTGTTCGAGGACAAGAAAAATTATATACAAAGTTTAATTGCAGTACTTTGTCTGTCGTGTTTAATCCAACATATATATATATATATATATATATATATATATATATATATATATATATATATTAGTATGAACCATTCATCCAAAAAGTAAATTAGTAAATTAAAATTAATTAGTTAATTATATAAAAAATGGCGAAATCCCTTCGAAAATAATTTTTTAAAGATGCATTAACTAAATGAGTGCCCTTCGCCGTTCTAATGTTGCTACTTGCCTTACAAGGTCAAAGTGAATTATTATTCTTTAATCACACAAAATGAACAGCAACACCTCCCTTGGATGCAAGCCAGCTTTAGCCACGGGTTTTGCACATTCACAATCTTGTTTCCAGCTCCGTTTGTGTCGGACATTATCATAAACGATCTATTTTTTTTCATTACCTGTCAGAATTCTGTCCAAGAACGTCTCTTTTTCTCCTTTTCGGGACGTAAGAGCAAAGAAATCGTCATAGTAACATGATGGAACTGTTTCTGTTCCGTCAGAGAATTTGGCACCAATGTGTCGAGACAGAAAAAAAAGTCCCTTCACATGTCGAAAGGCAGTTGAGATATCGATTTTCAAATCTCTTCCGTAGATTTTTTTTGTTTTGTTTTATTACCCACGATAGCAAGCCGGGCTTTTTCACCGAGGTCGGAGGTTCACCGAGAGTTTGCTTAATCGTTTACGTTACAATCACCCTGAGGAAATCTTCCAAATCCCTTTTTGGTTCGCCTAAGAGTTGGAACACGATCGAAAGTTACTTCTGATTTTTTTCCACAAAAGCAGTTTCCGGTTTTAGTTATATTATTTGTGTGAATCACACTCTAAAGTAAATACTGTCATCATTCTGGTATTAACGGATGCAAAACTCACAATAACTAATCGAGAGCCGTCATGATCAAAGAGTCCATAACATCGCACCGCAGTTCATTGTAAACTCTATAAGTTCTTCAGCATAAACTGACTGAAGGATATAAGACATATTGATTACTCCGTATAATTTGTTGAGTTATAAGTACCTTCTTGCAAATAGTTCTCCCTTTTATATTTTTCTTTCAATATGAAAAACATAGAAGTGAGATATATAAACAAACATAATTGTAGCAGCATTACAAATATTCACTGTTGATAGCTTGATTGTCTAATGCTGGTAATTAGACGCATACATTAAATAGCGCAAATACGAAACTTGCTCATAAAGTATTCACATAGAAGTTTTAATTGATATTAATGCAATTGATTTATTTCATGTTGTAAAAAGAAAAACAAAATATTTTTCGTTGAACTTTCTTTGCCAGGAAGTTTGTACCTTTTTCTTTTAACTTGAATGAAAACAGATATTTTTTATACTCAATAAATTTGTAGAGATTTTTTGAAGATTATTTATTTTCTTCGCTTTTGGCACACTTTCTCCTCTATATATTCTTTTCCAGGGCTACATACTTCTTGGAATTCAGAGTTGTCCTTTTCCTACATTTGTTGCAAACTACGACTATAGAGCCCAGTATGTTCTGTGATTTAAGCGATAATCTGGCGAGAGAATAGATGGACTCGTGGCTTTTGAGCTAAAGTTAAAGTAACCACATCGACTAGAATCGGGAAACGGCTCTCCGATTTCTCGTCCTGGGACGTTAACCATTATACACCCTGAACCAAACTAACCTTGTTTTTCATTCTTTTTTTCAATATTTATACCAGAAAAAATCGATATTATTTAATAAAAACGGAAATAAAAAAAAAATGATCCGATCTTTACCGCTCGACCCCAATGAGCGTCACACCAATAACGGCTCTATTTGCCTTTTTCAAGGAAAGCAGATGCTCTTCAACGAGACTATTATTTTAAAGACCTCATATCTACTCAATTTCACTATAATAATGTTTCATGTAATAAAAAATATCGGATTCGAAATAAACCAATTAATTCTTTAGAAAATACTTAATTTAAGTTTCGGATACGAAACTGAGCAAATATGAACTCTCGAGAAAAGTATTCTGGATGAAGGGGATATGTTTTTCCTATAAAGCGAATATAAAACCTTAGTTGCTGTGAAGTTGTTAGCGAACGGATCAAACGGTAGTTTCCTCTATACAAAGTTATCACGTAATACATACTGTTTAATGAATGCAAATGGGCCGTTTATTTCAAATACTATGCGCTCAATAGAATAAATAT